TCCTTCTCTGCAGGGCTGCTCCCAATCCCTTTGTCCCCCAGCCTGTACTGATCCTGGGGATTGCCCTGACCCAGGTGCACTTGGCCTTGTTGAACTTCATGTTGTTCACACAGGTCCAAGTCTTGAACTTGTCCAGGTCCCTCAGAATGGCATCCTGTCCCTCAGGTGTGTCAACCGCACCACTCAGGTTGATGTGGGAGTGGGGATTGAATTTTTTAGGACAATATAATGGTATTAACCATAAAATTCTGCGCACCCCCCCCCCCTTTTTTTTTTTAAATCTAGCTTCTTGACACATTCACTGTATTTGTCACAGAATTTGGAAATGAATCAGAGACCAAAGTCTGATGCATGTATTTCAGCATTATCCATCTCATGTATTGAATGAAGCCAGAAACTGTCATCCTGGAATTTCCTGCATTTCAGTGTCAACTTTGATATAATTATGTTCCTCTTAAAGTATTTTCTTCTGTATAATATACAGTGTAATTTATCTGGTATCTGTCCCTAAGATGGAAATACAATATCAGGAATGTATACCGTGACCTGTGTGGATGATGTATCTATGTAAAGTACTTGTTCCTAAGAACATGTTGAAGAAAGCTATGACCTGGACCATTACAAATGCTTGTCTACACTAATTTACAACTCTTTAATCTTTTATTTCCTCCTCTACTCAGGATATCCTTTTGCCTTGTTCCAGCGCTATTTCCTCTTCCAGAAGGAGGCCTACCTCATTCATCTCTACAACGTGTTCACAGGACTCTCAATTGCTTACTTCAATTTTGGTAAGATGAGTTTGGGAAGAGGGAGCTGCCTGCCCAGGGTGTGCTGCGGTTGGGGAGGACCTGTAATGGGAAAATGTCATTTCTGCTTCTCTCTCTTTTTCCCGTCCCACAGGGATGCAGTTCTTTCATTCCCTGCTATGTGTCCTAATCCAGTTCCTCATCCTGAGACTAATGGGTCGCACAATCACTGCCGTCTTCACCACGTTCATCTTTCAGATGGTAAAACTCGCTTTCTTACTGCATCGGTTTGTAGAAAGGAGCCCTCTCTTCAGTTTCGTGCTTGCTTGTAGCAACTGTGGGTGGAAAAGTGGAGACAGATGAAAACCAGCTGGAGAAATTAGCTTGAATAACCCAAACAATGGTTTCTTTCAGACGTACCTTATGGCTGGGTATTACTTCACAGCCACAGAGCATTATGACATCAAGTGGACAATGCCACATTGTGTCTTGACACTCAAGTTGATTGGTGAGTGACACCTTCTTCCTTTCTCTTGGAAGAGGAACCAGCCCATCCCAGGACTTCAAATAATTGTTTCTCACCTCTAGGTCTGGCCATCGATTACTATGATGGAGGAAAAGATCCGGTAAGTAAGATAGGATTTCTTCTTCATCCCTCCTCCCCTCTTCTGTGCCATTCCAGTGAGCTGGAGGTCAGAAAATCAAGTTCAAAGGATAAGAGTTAGCAAGCTGCATTCATTGTTTGGCTGAGAGGGGAGCATCTGTGAGTGTGTGAGGGCACTGAATTCTGGAGTGGGAATAATTTGGGAGACAGATTAGAGATGGACAAAAGTTGTTTCAGTCATGTCAGAATATTATTCTGCCCCCTTCCAAATTTCCCACCATCTCCTTCCCCCAAATCCGTTGCTTTAGATTCCTGATCCCCAATGCTCTGTGGCTTGTGAGTAGTGTACCTTTAACTTGCAGACCAGCAGCACTGGATCTCGGTTCCCATCTTCCTTTCCTGTGTTTAGTCTTACCATATCCGTGTGAATGGTTGCCCTTTACCATTTGGTAGGGCACTGTTTTTAGAGCAGGTGAAACAGTGAGAGAAGTTGCACAGCACAATGTGTAGGAGAGGGCAGAACACTGGCTACAGTCTCTTAATCCTACTTCAGGTACCTGCATTCCCCATCTCCTGTCCGGGGCCTGGCCCAGTCTTTAGCATCCACAGAATCACTGCTGACTGTGAGAAAACAAGACTGGACTGAAATTTCCTAAGCTGGAGTTTCAAGTATTTAAAGACAATGAATTATTGAATCAAGAAGCAGGAACTGTAGGACGATAAGGTCTTGGGAGAGTACATGTGATTGCAGTCAGGGACTGGAATAGGTCAGATACAGTGCTTTTACTAATCTTGTTGTGCTGGCAGAGATGTCTGACAATAGATCCCTTCCATGCTTTGAGCTTATTTGGGAATGGAGATCTGTGCAACTGGTCTCAACCATTGGATCTTGTTGCTCTTTAGAGGGGTTGGGGATAAAGAGGGCTGGGGAGAAGAATGGATGTGCAGTACAAAGTGGAAAGTTCCATATATGTGGAGAGCAAGAACTGACACCATTAAGGAGGTAGGCTGAGAACATAACATCCAGAGCTAGTGTGAGATCTCCTGGGATGATATTAATGCCACTCCCTTTGGTGCAGGAGTTCCTGACTCCTGAGCAGCGGCAGTTTGCTGTCCGTGGAGTTCCTACCTTGCTGGAGGTCTCAGGATTCTCCTATTTCTATGGTGCCTTCATGGTGGGGCCTCAGTTCTCCATGACAGACTATCAGAAACTGGCAAGGGGTGAGATGACTGACGTTCCAGGCCAGAGACCCAATAGGTAATAAAAACCCACTTAGCTCCCTCACCTTCCTAAGATCCCAGCATGCTGAATCCTCCACATGTTCCCTGCAGCAGAGTGCCGCCTTACCTGGACACTAAAGTACTGTGACCAAAAGTGATTTATAAGACAAGGCAGTCTTTCAAAAGCTCTTCCTAACTCTCTGCTTAATGTCCTAGCATTGTGCCAGGGCATAAATGTCAACAGCCACTTCACATCTTTAGTGCAGACTCAGTCCCAGCCTGGTAACGTTAGCATCGCAGCTTCCAAAGGGAGGCATCTGCTGCAGTGGAACGTGGTGGCTCCCTATTGCTATCTCCCCTTCCTCCTCTTCTCCACAATGTGAGTTTGACAATCTCTTTCCAAGGCTTTTCTTTGACCTTAATATTTTCCTTTCTCAGTTTTGTGCCTGCTCTCAAGCGCCTGAGTTTGGGTCTCTTCTTTCTAGTAACCTATACGTTGTCAAGCCTGTACATCTCTGACGAATATCTCATCTCAGATGATTATATGGTATGTATGCACTTGGCAGTTCTGAGCTGTGGAAGAATCCCACTTTTCTGCTGGGCACTAGATCTACAAGAGTTTTTGGGGTTTTGTTTGTTGGTTTGGTTTTTTTTTAGTTTTGCTTCAATTTAAAAATAAGTCAGCAACTAGTGATAAGCTTTTCCACAACTGATTTGGCTTTACTGCCTGTCCTGTGGGTTCCATTTGATGCAGAACAGGAACATGTCAAGTTGAACTGAACCAAATGAAAACTTTTACAAATAGGAAATTAATCTTAGATGCCACTGTTGTTTTTGGAAACCTAACATATGTATTTAGTGACCTTTTAATGACCTTCCATTTAACCATTACATGCAAAGAACCTGACTAGAGAAGAATCTCTGCAGATTCTCTGCACAAAATCTTTGAGGTTCGTAGAAAACTCTTTTAACAAGTAATTCCTACTTGCAGATTATCAGTGTTTCTGTGTCAGTATGAATAAATGAGGGTGTAAATTCTGCAATGATTATGCTAATCCCAGAGTATTCCCAAAGTACCTATTTCAGAACAGCCAAATATTACCAAAGGAAGGAGAATGATGTGTAAATTTGCATAAGCCAATAGCCTGGCAGTCCTGTCCATATAGCAGTCTCAACACACACATCAGATTAAAACAAAAGACAAGCAATGAGATCTCATCTACCTTGTCTCATGATTGCCACTCTACTCTGATTTTTATTTTTACTCTATCTCACTCTTATCTCTGCAGGAGAAGCTTTTCTGGTTCCGCTGTGGTTACATATTGATCTGGGGCAAAATTATACTCTACAAATACGTAACCTGCTGGCTTGTTACGGTGAGTCTAGATGTTGTTCCAGAAACAAAAGACAAATGAACAAAGTAGCACCTTTGCAGCAACTTAGTATGCTCTTGGACTCAGTGCTAAATGGAACTAATCCAATTACCTGGAGATCAGTGCAGGTCAGTTTAGCTTGCTTTAAGTTAGCAAAGGCTAGCCAACTAAAAAGCAGGCAGTTTTTAAATCCATTTGTTCCATCTGCAGTGATGTCTCTCCACTCAACACAGTGAGAGCCAGAGCTTCCCCAGCTCTGCCTTTCCAAAAAAAAGGGGGCAATGCCTTCCTCTCATCTTTCTTGTGAATCTTTTTCCATAGGAAGGTGTCTGCATTCTTGTTGGTCTGGGGTACAATGGGAAGGACCAGAATGGAAAGCCTTTGTGGGATGCCTGTGCCAACATGAAGGTCTGGCTGTATGAGACAACACCTTTGTTCACAGGGACCATTGCCTCTTTCAACACCAACACCAATGCTTGGGTGGCTCGGTGAGCAGGACAAAATTCCCCTTCTATGACGTGTCTGTGTCACCGTCTGCGTCAACAGAACCAAGATCCTAGGCTGAGAGGGAGCACTAGAGGAAGAATCTGCCCATTTT